CAGACTCTCACGAGGCAGTGAATGATGAGCAGCGGTGCCAGATATACAGATATGTCTGTATTTATACAGATTTTTGAAGTCTCGTGCAGACCCAATAAAGACCACAGACATTTTACAGATATTTGAAACATGTGATGAACTAGCCTACGGCTAAAAATCATGATGTTGTACAGATTTTTACCAATTGGTTCCTGAAATTTAACATAAAATAAACAAAATTATTTTCGAGTGTGTGAATCTCGTTATGATTATGGTACGTGTTATAATTCTCGCTCCAGCCCACAACCGCGATCCGTCCGTAAAGCGATGAACGTGCCCCAGATAAATCGACCCGAGAAGCTCTGCAACAGAAAGTTTCAAAGCAACAGAGTTATCGCCGGCTTGGAATCCACTCTTAATCCGCTTATCTATTTGACGACGTTTGATCGCCAACTCTTCTCTCCATGCCAGTGGACCCTGGCCACCGGGGGGAGGTCATGGTTGGCTGCAGTGTGGAGGGCTCTGTTCCCCTCGTTGAGGAGAAAGACCCTTTCGTTCCCTGATGTCTTAGCAGCGAGGGCAGCAGATCGATAGCGGAAAGGGACTAAACGCACAACGCACAACGCAAACGTACAAAAATGCTTATTTATTCAGTTTAGTGTGTGGTGAGCAATTTATAGCCAAAATACATGTGGGAAATACGTAATCAGCAATGCGGCGATTTTTTCTAGTGTACAGATAAATACAGACATATTTTTGACACCATACAGACTTTTGAAAAAATCATGTGGCATCCCTGTGGCAGATGGCAGTTCATATTCATATCAAAATGACTCAATGAACCTGACTGTTTTGCGCACTGATCCTGGTAGCAATATTAATCCTCGGAAAATATTTAAAAAAAATGTCACTCTGTTGTATGCTCCGCTCCGTCCGTCCAAAGTTTCGTGTGGAAGATGACGAAATAAAAGACAAAAGTTAATTGACGCCTTCTTCATTCAACCAGAAGTTGCACAGATTGAACACATAACAATAGACAACGGTCAACACCCAGAAGAGAAATTTTCGGGTTGCAAATAGTTCCACCGGCTGGAGCGGGAATCGTACCCTCACTTTGTGTTACTCACAATTCACCTGAACGACGGGTGACGCCGCTAACCGCATGACCACGAAGCCCAAGAAAGAGAAATGGACAGAACCGTGCTCTCCATTACCTATACTATGTGTTCTGTTTCGGCTTGATAGTGACGGTCGCTAAAGACGCCAGCGACGACGACTGAGTGGTGGTCAATGCAGCAATAATCGGTGGACATAACTCCATCACTTTTTGAATGCGTCTACCTGTTCTCCGTTGCTGCTCCGCCTTGTCCTACTTGGCTGGCAGATAGCCATCGTCAATCTCCAAAGCCAATTTCGATCCCCGGAAGAGCTTCTCCCTCTGGCATCGATAGCGTGAGCCCATTCCAGCAATAGCAGGTAACATAAGCAGCAGTTTGTCCCAGCGTTTGTAAATTTTGAATACAATCAGATCCGTTTCAATGTGGTCTTCGTCAAGCGATTGAATGAACTCGACCGCCTTCTCGAGTGGATCCTTCGGTCAGGCTAGTTTGTCCGGTACCAACTTGTCCAGCAGGAGTGTATCGTTTTCGGATGACTGAGACCACTCACGGTCAATCTCGCCAAAAGTATCGTCGTCTTGGTTCGGATTCTTAGAATTTCACTACTTGTTGTGTTGGTTGTTTCAACACAACAAAAAAAGAAGTCTTGAATTGACCTGTCAAATTAACCGGGTTGCCAAGCATGCCGATATTCACAACCAAACAAAGTCAGTTCAATGACTGGCACAATCGGCACTGCCGGTATAGCTGCGGCACAAAAGTTGACGCAAAATATGTGTGTAATAGACTGATGCAAAATTTGAAATTTTCGCTCCACAGTGTTCAAACGGTTTCAAATCGGGTCCCGATTCTCCAAAAGTTTAAACTCATTTGATAAGAAACTGACTTGGAACAAACCATTTGAAGTTTATATGGAAATTACTATGGAAAATCAAAACTTTTTGTTCATTGTCTTCTAGCCTTTTTACATATTGTACTGTTAACAAATTCTATTGCTATTTTTATGGGAATTTTTATCAGTTACAACTTTACAAAAAAATCGTTTTTCAGCCAAACGTCAAATTAAATAGTTATTAATTGTTTAAGAGATTGATAATCTTATGGCAAGATTAAGCAACTGTATTGTCGGCAACACTGTATTCTGCAGTGTGACATAGAAGCCATGATTTTTGTCCTCTATTCTACGCGCCAGAAACACCAATGTTGCCTGCTGAACAGTTGATTGAGCATAATCATAAGACATCAGTGACTTGAATAATTAATATTTTTTTGTTCCTTGCATTTGATAGAAAAGTGGTCTTAAACAAAGTTGTAACTGAAAAAAAAAATTAACAAGCTCAGCTATCATTTTCTAAAGAAGAGTGAACTGGTGAATTTTGAGATCGATATGAACCGAAATTATGGTTTCTCTATAGTAATTCCCATATAAACTTCAAATCCAGAACAACATGTGAAAAGGGCATACAAGCTTTTTGTAAACAAACCTTCTTATGCCCTTTTCTCGCCACCCATATGACACCAACACAAACCTTTAACATCACCGGGTAGGGGAAACTTTCCTCTTCCCGATGATATTGCTGGTTTGCGTGGTCGACCCTCGGTTGGTGAGAAAAGGGCCTTCAAAGGTTTGTTTACAAAAAACTTGTATGCCCTTTTCACATGTTGTTCTGGAAATGGTTTGTGCCAAGTCAGTTTTTCACTAAATGAGTTCAAATTTTGGGAGGCTAATCAGGGCCCAATTTGGAACCTTTTGAGCACTGTCTAGCGAAAATTTCAAATTTTTCATCAGTCTAGTGTGAAGAGTGACTATCCCTTGTATACAACATTGCTTTTTTCTGTGAATAGCCCGCGAGATATCGTTAGTGAGCTCCTTGGCGATATTTTTATGGGAAAATAATTTAAATATCTACTTCTGTTTGTCTGTGGTTTTACTATAAAATTTATACGGGCAGCCGTATATTGGGCAATGAATCAAAAGGACCTAACTTGGATTCGAGAATTTAGGATTATAGATCCCATTCAATTTACGTGTTCCGTTCCGTAAGCCTAAGAATAATTGTAAAACTTAAATTCAAATGTAACATTAATCAATTAATCACAACCTTACGGATACTAGGAACTCACAATTGAGTCCTATCGCAACGATAGATTTTCGGTAGGTTACCTACGTGATACGAAAATACAGATGTAACGATTGGCGTAGATAAACAAATCCAAGAAAACCTGTACCCGTTTATAAACTATACCGTCTGAACTAGTTACCTTGCTAAGAATAGCAACAGAACCAGTAACCAAACAAGTGTGTGACCGGTAGTAAGGTTCTACGTTGTGTAGGCAATTTCCGATGATGGTGATCGTGTCAATCTAGAGTAACGTAGAATTATGTAAATGAAGGTAAATGGGATAGTTTAACAGGGGGATTGAATCATTTTGCCAGTGCGATGAAACAAGGAATTATGTCATTCGTATTTTCAGGGGGTTATGAATTTGGGAATGTAGATTTGCGATGACTCATGCAATTTTAAAGACTGAACGCAAGCAAGCTATAGCATACCATAAAGAAAACGGAATCTCTTGGGTATAAGATGAAGATTAAGATAATAATTTAGAGAGAACCCATCTCATTGCGAAATAAAACAAAATACTGCCATTCCATAGCAAAACGATATAGTGGCTCCCAGAATTTCGTAAAAATTGGTAGTTTTGTTCCGTATCTCACAATATTAGACCCTTATTTTTATTTTATTTGATTAGGGTGACCATTTCCATTATAGGGGTGTCTAAAAAATCAATTTTTTTAAATGACCTTTTTCAAAATTTAGTAACTTTTGAACCACTGAGCCGATTCAAAGTTAAAAATATAAAATGAAAGGTATTTTCCCCTATATAGAAAAAATATAATTGATTTGGTTGTTCGACTGGTTGTATGGAGATTTCGTTTTTATGGCTTTCTCAGTCTAGGGTAATCCAAACAGTTAGTTGTGCATTGCCCGACGTTTCGGCCTTTTATTGTGGCCTTTTTCAAGGGTAAAACAGTCTACCGTTTGTCGTCATTTTTTTTTTGTTTGTTGCCACGATAAGCGTGTTTAGCTTGGAGGAGCTTCCTGTATGGTGCATTGAGTTCAATATTAATTAACATAGGACACTATATGACACTACACTATATAACGGTTATTTTGAAGAAGCTAAACACGCTTATCGTGGCAACAAACAAAAAAATTGACGGGGTTTTACCCTTGAAAAAGGCCACAATAAACGGCCGAACGTCGGGCAATGCACAACTAACTGTTTGGATTACCCTAGACTGAGAAAGCCATAAACAATATAATGATATTAAAAAGTTGAAGTTTTGTATTGAAAAACATTGATTGTATTTGTTTTTTTATGGTTTGTTGATAGAGGCTATACCTAATGATAAAATAAAAAAAAATATGGGTCTAATATTTTGTGATAAGGAACAAAACTACCAATTTATACGAAATTCTGAGAACCACTATATCGTTATGCTATAGAATGGTTGTATATTTTTTAAACGTTTCTTCCATGAAACCTCCTTCTCGAAGATCTTATTACCTTCATTTATACCAGCCGATATATACATACAAAAAAAACGGATGCATGCAGGAAGTATTTTACTGTCACCGACCGTCGTCGGTCAGTTGCATCCCATCATACTGTTTTACCTTGCCTAAGGCTATCAATCGAACAGGTAAACAGTAACGAACAGCTAGGCAGAATTAAGTCTACTTTATTGGCTCAGTTATACCTATTTACATATTCAAATGAACCGAACCTCTAGGTTCAAGACTGGCTATATTTTTCTGCTAGTATTTTAATACTTGATCGCTTCTAAACAGGTCCGTTCCTCTTTGAACTGATCTTTTCGCCGTCATTCTCAGTTAAACCCTCGAGCAAACCACAACTTAAATCCGTCGCGTCGTTGCACAAGTAGTTCGCTGATTTCAGTGCAAGGAAAAAAAAGTGGTTCAGCGTTATCAAAATGGGTACGATTAAAGATTAAAGTTCACTACCTACGATGAGTGTTTACTTTCATTGTTCACAGTTTTGTTTAATTTTAACATCTTACAGCGAAATTTCTGGTTTTGGGTCTGGTGATTCTGGCAGCGATTGCAGCAATCGATGCGGCCTGTAAGTTTTTTTTTTTTTTTGCGAGTCCAAGGATGCAGTAAAGGTCAAATACGTTTTGTTTTTGCAGCTTTTGGTCAGTGTCCAGTGGCTTCCAAGGTGCAAACTTGCACCCCGAAATGCTTGAGCGACGTAGAATGCAGCACTAGCGGAGGAAAGTGCTGCCCAAACACTTGCAACTATAAATCTTGTGTGAGTCCCAACCAGCTATCGCAGAGTGGATCAAGTGGAAACAAGTGTGAGTATCTGTTGGGTTTTGCCTGATGCGTACCCCGTAAATTACCAGTTTTTAGCGAACCAGTTTGTGATTGCGTGTTATTTCTTTTCTATTGCAGATCAATCAGGAGGAGCCGGTACATATTGCGGAAATGTAAAGTGCAGCGCTTACGAGAAGTGTGATTTGGACAAGACCACTAAACGTCAGAAGTGTGTTCGGTCTTAAATTTGATTTGCTCAAAAATAATTCAACATCGTGGAAGTAATAAACAGTCATCTATTATGCATTCACGCCTTGATTCAAGATTCTTCGGCAGTGTTCGAGTTAGATCCGAAAAGCGATGATGACACGTCAGATTTTCCATTTAGATTTCTCTGAAGTAACCAAGTAACCAACAAGCCCGCAAATTCGCCTTTTTGCAATATAAGGCCAATATGTGGCTAATATAAAGCTTAGCATGCCCTATGTTAGCCGTGTATTAGCCTTATATTGCAAAAAGGCGAATTAGCGGGCTTGTTGGTTTCTTGGGTTCTTCTTTGATTGGAGACGAGATGTAAGCTTTCAGTTTTAATCTCACCACTACTGACAGCATGGCGCCATATTGGCAAAAAGTTTTAAAAAATATATAAGGAGATATGAATTTAGGTAAGCGCGATTACCTCTCACCCCAGCAGGCCTGGGTTCAATCCCAGTCGGCGCCGCTGGGATGTTCTGAGGCATAACATCTCTGACCACGCCTTCCTTCGGAAGGGAAGTAAAGCCGTTGGTCCCCGGTTCATGAGTTCATGAGTTACCTGACCAAATATTTTATCAGGAAAGTTCCTTATTTCGTTACAATCAATATTTTCCGGTTTTCTGCATACAAAATAAATTGCTGTATCTTTTTACAAGCTGCTTTTACAAGCAACATCTGTTCAAAAATCAGCCATGCTCAAGGAATCAAAAATTTCTCCAAATGACAAAATGACAAGCGATCAACGAGCCGAACGATAAAGCTATGTCAGAAGTATCTTAGTAGTATAATCTTCTTCTTTCTTTTTCATGACAAACGACCTTTGTAACATAGCTCACTCGGGTTGGTAGTAGAAAACGACCAAATTACTGGTAAGCTTCTTCACGAAGTAAAGTCGAAGGTGATACACGTGTGTTGATGGGATTTTTTTGTTATGTCTTTTCTCGATTGCGATCAAGCTATGTCCTCAACCATTGCAACCATTGTATATTGCAATTGACAAATACAAGTTTGCAATCGCAGTGGTGATAAGTCCGAAATAATGTGTCAAACTGAATACATTTTTGAAATTTCAACCTAAAAACTATTATTTTCTATTTATTCTAGCGAGTTTCTGTGGAAGTCAAAACATGATCCGAGCAAAAAAGTAGTACTCGTAATAATGGCATATAATGCTGAATTTAATCGTGCTTTGTTTCGAAAATATCTTCCAAATAAACAAACATCATCCAAATCACCCGATTCGTCCACCGACTAAATCTATTGCTACTTGAAAATTAATTTCAGTCGGAGTATTAATCAAATCAGCAAATTAAATCATATTTCATCTGGTGCTACACCGAGAAATCGGCCTATTTAATTGTTTTTCGTCGATGGATTTTGTCGGCCACCTTTGTCTGCTGTTTAATTTATTTATTTATTTATTTGTCGTCAATCAGTGTAGACCGTTTTACAATTGTTGTCTTAAGAGCTATTTTTACAATTTTCTCTTTGTTTATATATTTTTTTATAATTTGTCTTCAGAACAAGTTAAAACATTACTTCTAGCTGACGTTATGCGAGGAATTAAATATTGCTCTAATTTGGTTTTTGTCATTGTAAAGTCAATGTTATCGCAATGCTTATTATATGTATCCATCATTTGGTTCAAAGGTCCAAATTTGGCATAATTCGTACGATGACGATTTGTAGCAAATATATTTCTATTTCGTAAATGCCTAGATGGTGTATATAAATTTAAGGATGACAATAGTTCTATAGAATCAATACGATGTGATACGATATCGTTTACGAAAGAAATCATAGCAAATTCACGACGCTCTTTTAATGTTTGGATATTTATGAGCATACACCGAGCTGTGTAAGATGGCAGAGGAAATACAGTCCAACCTAACTTGCGGAGTGCATACAATAGAAACTGCTTTTGAACGGACTCTATACTTTCTTAGTGTGTGATTAAAAAAGGAGACCAAACTATGCTGCAATATTCTAATATCGATCTTACATAAGCAATGTACAATGTTTTTATCGTATACGGATCGTGAAAGTTATAGCAGAAACGTTTTATGCATGTTGTTAGCTCTGTTAATAATTGTGTTATAATGATCGGTGAAAGTAAGTTTTGAGTTCAAAATAACACCTATATCCCTGACTCTATCACACTTTTCTACGATATGGTTTCCTAAAGTGATTGTTATATCGGGTAGGATTCGTTTTCTACTAATGGTAATTGAGTTACATTTTTTTATATTTAATTGTAACAGGCTTTTTTGGCACCAAGTATGGAATATCTGTATTTCCTCTTTGAATGTGATGATGTCTTTGGCATCCTTTATTTCCAGAAAAAGTTTAATGTCGTCAGCATAGATTAAAACTTTCAATTTCTTAATAATGGAAGATATGTCATTGACGAAGAGAATAAATAAAAGCGGTCCTAAATGGGAGCCTTGAGGAACTCCAGAAGTGACATCGGCAGATGATTTCAAACCTTAACATGTTTTCTTTAATTTGCAAGTCTTTAAGTAGCTTTTTCATTTAGGAACAATGCATTACACTATGCATTTTGTTCAAGATTCATCCATGCTGACAAGAAACTTGCATAAAATTACATTGAAATTAAACAATTTTGCAAACAATCGATTAAATGGTCAAGGGTTGTCACAGACTTATCACAGTCGGCTAGTGCTTATTCCTGCCACCAGGTGCGCAGGAGTTTAAGTTGGATTTCTCAATAAATCGGGCAAGCAATATATCATTATCCTTCTACGGTCAAAATTTGGTCAAGGGAAAACGCGTGTAAATCGGTGAAATCGTTTATTTAAAAAATCAAATTAAATTTCTTTTTCAAGTTCAATTAGTATAAAATTCAGGAAAAATATTCAGTTAGGCTTCCGCTTTTCCAAATCCGAATTGCCGGGCCTTACGCTTGACCCCTGCCATCAGATTTTGTACAGCCACCTTGTCCACCTTCTTCGCCGCAGAAAGCCAGTTTGCCTTGAACTGCTGCTCGCCCTTAGCAGTTTTTTTGGTCTTCTTTAGGTTCCGCTTGACAATAGCCCAGTATTTCTCAATTGGGCGGAGCTCTGGCGTGTTGGGAGGGTTCTTGTCCTTGGGAACCACCTGCACGTTGTTGGCGGCGTACCACTCCATGGCCTTTTTACCGTAATGGCAAGATGCCAAATCCGGCCAAAACAGTACGGAACAACCGTGTTTCTTCAGGAAAGGCAGCAGACGTTTATTCAAACACTCTTTCACGTAAATTTCTTGGTTGACAGTCCCGGAAGCTATGAAAATGCTGCTTTTCAAGCCACAGGTACAGATGGCTTGCCAAACCAGATATTTCTTTGCGAACTTTGACAGTTTCATGTGCTTGAAAACATCTGCTACCTTTCCCCTTCCTTTTGCCGTATAAAACGCCTGTCCCGGAAGCTGCTTGTAGTCGGCTTTGACGTAGGTTTCGTCGTCCATTACCACGCAGTCAAATTTTGATACGCTGCTCTTCTTGCTTGGACGGCATTTTGACAACTGAAGAGTGAATTCCAAAATCAAAATGGGAGCAACATTCTACACACACACACCTTCAAAATGAGGGGTGTTCAGGTTTTTTAAATGCAAAATTGAAAGAAATACGTCAAGTTGATATTGACCAAATTTTGACCGATCACCCTTTATAAGTCCGATCGAGCTGTGTTGCAGTGAGAGTTTGCCATGGTAGTCGTAGCAAGCGGTTTGTCTGTATCGTTGGTTGCAATATTAATTCATTACTTAAAATAGTCTTGATGCACAATAGAAGAAGGATAAGAATTACCCATTACCCCCAGGAACTCTTTTAATTCAATATAACATAACTCGATGTTTCTTTAAAATAAAGAACCATAGACGTACAGTGAAATGTATTGTTACCATGCAATAGAACTTATTGTATTTACTAGTAATCCTACATACAGATACATATTCGCGGAAATATTATCAGACAATTTGGCAACGTGATTTGTTTTGTTTACAAAAGTTGCCAACACTTGCCACCGAGGAAAATGTTCCAGCTTTGTGTGTGACTTTATCGTTGTCTACGCTACGAGTTGGTTTGTTTACGTTGTTTGAACTCTCAGTGAACTGGTGAACTATTTTTTCCTTAAATTCCGAATAACATTTACTGTCAAGTTTTGCCCTTAGGCTCGTGGAAGTGCAACAAAGTATAATCACAGACAAACAGATATAACACTCATAAGTTGTTCATCGAACAGACATTTAACGGTCTATTTGAAAGTATATCAGTTGGTAGTACCATAGAGGTAACTCTAAGACTAGAACGTCCCGAAATAACGTGCTCAACTTTTTGGCTCAGCTCTGGTACTCTCTTCGGTCCCAAGCTAATAAATTCACCCCTCGAAACATATGAAAAACCAATAACCCCTCATTTTATCTGTCAAATTTTCATAGCGAATCAAAACAAACATTGTGTAGTACTAGAATTTCGACTAGAATGGGGTACGTTAATCGTTTGCTTGGGACCAATAGGCTAGTCAAGTAGTGAGCCAATTTAAAATCGTTAGTATCGTTAGTATCGTATTGATTGTTGGTAGTACTGCCACCTGTGGCGCGCATAGTAAATTCCCTTGCATTTGACGTTTACACACTACCACCATCTGTTCAGCTTACTACCCACCACAGTGTACTCAACAGATGGTGGTAAAGTTTTAGTGACGATGTTTTACAATGAGAAATATTCAATGAGTTATGTCTGTTTGTCTGTGGTATAACAATGTGAGTTTCTTTTCCAGTTTCCGAAAAACGCTGAACTTTGCAAAAAATGGCCGCAGTTTTGCGAACTACCGTCGGATTTTTCCCTAGTTGATTCTATGTGTGTGTGTGTAGTGTATGTTACAATGATAATTATTTGGTAGTATCTAGTTAAAATTTAATGCTTTTTCCAGTACCATTTCGAGCGCATGCATTTTTATTTTGTTTAAGAACCAAGAAATATTCCTGAAAACAAACAGAAATATTGCGAATAGTTTTATTGCGCATTTCACACCAAACTGATCTGAAAAATCTTTAAAAATAATCCATTCACAATGTTTTATATAATTGTGTGTGGTGTGTGTATGTGGATACAATCCATCTCCCACTCTGACCGACAGTGCATTTATGGAAGAAACCTGCCTGCACACTAAGATTTTTTACAGGAGTCAGTATTTTTTTACTGGGTTTTTGAATTGCTGAAAAAGTCGGTAAAAATTCAAATGACCGTTTTCCGTAAGGAATCAATGAAAACGACCAACTTTATTTCTATCATTAAATGGGGTTAACAGAACTAAGTATGTACAAGTTCAGAACAAATTTTCTCATTAATAAATTTTCCACAGATTTTTAAACTTTTACCGAACAGTTCCGCAATTCAAAAACTCAGTAAAACCATAGAGGTACACACTTAGATTTTTTCGCCGAGATGGGCACCACCGAGCAGCTCGGCATTTTATTTCGCTGGATCTCAGTGAAAAACTTGCCGAGATTCAGCTAACAAACGGGAATTTTGCCGAGATCTCAGCTTACAAACATATTTTTTGCTGAATTTCCAGCAAAATAAAATGCCGAGCTGCTCGGTGGTGCCCATCTCGGCAAAAAAATCTAAGTGTGTAACTCTAAGACCACTGGGTCCCGAAGAAAATCATTATTATTTTTGGCTCACTCAGTACCAGAACAACGGTCCCAAGCAGTCCCAAGCTATTTCACTCACCCCTGCATGTTCTGCATGAATCCACACACCCCTGATGTTATCTGTCAAACTTTCATAGCGAATCAAAACAAACATAGTGTAGTAATAGAATTTCAACTAGAATAGGGTACGTTAATCGTTTGCTTGGGACCAATAGGCTACTAAAGTGGTGAGCCAATTTAAAATCGTTAGTTTCGTATTGATTGTTGGTAAAACCGTACTGACTCGATTAGTGTGTGGTGCCTGGTGTTGTTAGAACATTTTTAACCGATAGATGCATACATTTTTAGCCCTGGAGATGAAAGGTGATAACTCTATTGTAAATCCAATGAACCATTTCAAGAATGCTTGTTCATTAAACTGATGCAAAATTTGACATTTTCGCTCCACAGTGCTCAAGTGGTTCCAAATTGGGTCTAGATTAGCCTCCCAAGGTTTGAACTGATTTGGTAAGAAAATGACTGGGCACAAACCATTTGAAGTTTATATGGAAATTACTATGGAGAAACCAAACTTATTCTTCGTAGTCTTCTATCCTTCTTCCATATTGCACCGTTAAAAAATTCTATAGGTATTCTTTTGGAAAATTTTCTCAGCTACAACTTTGCGGAATATTGTTTTTCAGCCAAACATCAAATAAAATAGTTATTAATTGTTTAAGAGATTGATATGGCATGATCAAGCAACTGTTTTGTGGGCAACACTGTATTCTGCAGTGTGACATAGTAGCCATGATGTTTTAGCTCTATTCTACGCGCCAGAAACACCAATGTTGCCTGCTGAGCAGTTGATTGAGCATAATCATAAGACAATAGTGACTTGAATCATTAATAACTTTTGATGCTTAAATGTTATCGAAAAATGGTTTCCAACAAAGTTGTAGCTGTGAAAATTTACTACAAGTACAGCATTACATTTTTACAACAGATTATAACAATAGATATGAATACAAAATTTGGTTTTCCCACAGTAATTTCCATATAAATTTCAAATGGTTTGTGCCAAGTCAGTTTATTACTAAATGACTTCAAATTTTGGAAGGCTAATCAGGAACCAAATTGGAACCGTTTGAACACTGTGGAGCAAAAATTTCAAATTTTGCATTAGTCTCCTGTTCATACACGTACATTCTGAGGTCATCTTCATGTACAATAAGCCCCGCATGAGCACATTCACATATCAAATGGATATCTGAAGTGTATTCACACTTCCAGAATAAAAAAAAAATCTAATTTGATACTGGCACGTATTTAGTTATTAAGTTATAATTGAAATGTATATGGATAAACATAAATAATTATATGGATGGTAAATAAACTTAGCTGAGCGTTCCAAAGCGTTAGTTAAAATAAACTGCACCTTATACCACGGAACAGGAAGGATTTGATTCTAAATTCAGTTCATATCACTTATCACAGCGACAAACACTAGGGACACGTGGGATTTGATAATTATCACTTGATACACTTTTTAATACCACTTCTGTGCATTAAATTTAACTTTTTCTAGATCAAAATTGTAATTATTTTAATTTTTGCTAGAACAAAAATGACGCAGCAAAACGTTTTTTTTTATATAATTGTTATTGTTAATTATGCTTAAAACTCTCTTATATGCATTCAACTGCTATAATATTTTTTATTATTTTTTTGATTTATAAACTTTTTGATTGAAATTATTTCACCCCGATTACAATACTTTTCAACTCAATAAGAAATTCTCTGAATAGTTCTAATGCGAATGCTCGTTTGGCTCACATTTTCTCAGTTCTCTCTGCTCGATTGGCTCAAGATGGCCGCTTTTGCAAATATACAGGATTACTAGTATTTCAATAAATCGTATTTTCCACTTCGATACAATAACCATAGAATTTATTGTTTCAACAATAGAATTTATAGTACATGAGGCCGTTTACAACGGAACTCGGGGTTTTTATGCAACTTAACCATAGACAAAGTCGCTTTTCCCCAAACAAACATGAGCCATTTACCATGATATTGCTGCAAATTCATACTATGCGGAACGTATTGTTGATCTACTGTAATAACAATATTCAAAATTTACTTGTATGATATACGAGCAATAAGATCGACTATTGCCAATAAATTTTGTTGTAATGGGCCACTGTGTCAAGTAGTTTTGGCGTGACATTCTACCATTTCACAAAACTGGACCAATAAATTACATTTTTTTTATGAAACGCACACATTTTGCCCACTTTTTTCGTGGTTCAGAAAAAACTCTCAAAATCAATATTTTATTTGGAAGATCGTGGTAGTAAACATCATTTTAACAGCTCAAATAAAGTAATTATTTGTATTATAATTTATGAGTATTGTATGGTTATCTTTATCCGGATTGTTCAGACAAACTTTTCGAAACCACTTATGGTAAAAAAAAAATCGCACAGCTTGTAGGTTCAACCTCTTTTAGACACGATCAGATCTTTTCTAGTTATGGTCCCGGCAGCGAAGAATGTATTGGTGGAAAAAAATGCGAGTTTGGTAGTGAAAAAAGCAAAGTGCATCTCCCCTGAAAAGTGCAAATTGAATAAGTCCACAGAAAGCGTCAAAAGTGTGTATGATCTAAGCTTTTATTTGTTCATTTTTTTACAACATTTAAATAATAAACGGACTCCACTTAACAATCGTTTACACCTTTTTCGCTAGCTTCTTATACAGCGGCCTAGCAATATCGTCGGCTGTGATTGAGTACGATCCGGAAAGGGATGAAGACACGTCGGCTTTCCCATTTGGATCTTCCTGAGGGCCATCTCCGATCGGTATCGTGATCTCCTTCACCACCCGGTATCCCTTTTCATCGGCAACGTAGTGCACTTCCCGCTTGTAGAACCCATCACTATACGCGTACATTCCCTTAAGGGCTAGTCCTTCACGTGTTTCCTGCCTTTGGATGGTCTGATCACTGATCGTATCGGTGATGGAAGAATCGTACGAGTAGTGTGCAGATTTGGCTTGAAATTTTGCTAAGGATTCTTCGTCATCCTTTCGCAAATTCCTCTCATTGTTTCTCGCAGGTCCCTGTGCTCCACTGGAAACGACTTCATATCGGTCACGATCATTTTTCACAGGAAGCGATTCAGATTTTACTGCACTTGATAAATTATTCTGAGGTGCAGCTAAGCTCACTACAGCAAAGCTTGCTAGAACTACAACCACGCACCTGAACGACAACATTACTCTTATTCCTACTCTAGAAACAATACTAAGTCGTTTCCTTGCCAGCGTGATCTATATATTGAATTTTCCGTTCAAGGTCGAAACCGAAGACTTCACGCAACGAATCGACGGCGCGCGAAGGAGCGGCAAACTTCTTCTTCTGTCGTCTTAATAAGTTGTCGTACTTTAAATTATTTACCGCTTCTGCTTCGGAACGTGTATGATGCCGTCGGCGCTTGCTGTTTACAATTGTATACCTATAATGGGAGAACAAGTTTCACTTTCTTCCTCGCACAGACGCCAATCGATTGCGATGATCTTGCACCGTCCATCGGCGTAGGAAAAACTGAAAGTTCGATAAACTGCATTGCTTGATAACGAATGTTGACAAGGAGGATGCGCTTCAATGCCATTGGGTGTGATCTTAATAAGTACCTATATATGTTGACCTGTTGCGGAAATGGTAAGATGTCATATTCAATAATAAGTAGCATACAGGTTAATGAACGTATATAATCGATTCTATAAACTGGGCCCGTCCATTGACGGTTGCGCATTTATGATTTATATTTGAATACATTAAGACTAAGTAGGGTAGGACAGTCCGAAATGCACCCCTAGGGTAAAATGGTCCCACGTGGTTTATCAATTTGTGCATTTAACGATCGGTACTTTATATTATACTGTCCGAATATAGGATCACATCCCTTTTTAAATTTATTTACCAGTCAAATTGCTTTTTGATGTAATCACCTTCCGATCAAAATAGTTTTCGATGTTACTTAAGTCACCCGATTTCTATGGAGATGCCGTTTGTCTTAAGTAATAGCTTAAGTGAATAAATCGAACTGTTTGTTGCTAAGATGATTTTGGTTGTCCTAAAATGATGAATGGGCTGCACGTAAGGAGACGTAATTGATAATTCTCCCGAATATCCTGGTAAATACACGTTGACTTAAGTAACAATAGGGGCCACCAAACGACGTATAATAACTTTTGACTCAAAAACCAGTATTTTTTAGCATGAAAGCTAGCGATTTGCATTTGTATGATTAAAACCCTGCTAAATATGTTAAACATTGCTATCACTATGAGATTATAAGAGTTTAATTGGAAATAGGAATAACTTTTCGGTCATCAAAACAAAACTTTATTTTTCTCGGATTGGTGCGATCGTTACTCACAACATAATGAAAATTTGCTCTTGATATCATATATATATATATATAGGGGAAATGGATGTAATGCCGGCCTAAATGCCCTTAATCTGGGCCCATACATCAGCAATCGACTAAATTTTCAATAGCGACCAAAAATAGCCATTAGTACCGTCCCATTAGTAACGTTCATCTAGATAAAATTGATAAATAGCAGATTTTTAACGATGGGCCCAATCTTCGATCCAAAGGCCAACATTAGAGCCATTTTCTCTATATATAGATTAAATAAATCTATGAATACAGGGAAAACTGTGCCCCTCTCTGCCCCCTTGGTTACGCCTGAGGGAGTGTTGTTCTATTATGGGCTCAGTTGCCTTAGACAGCCGTTTTCATATAGAAGAGTTTTAGAGTCACATTGCTTGCTTATCGTGAGTTTTGTGAAACTTGTCGTCTTCGTCGTCAATGCCGGATCAGAATGGTTACAATTACTACTCGATGGTGTGATGTGATATAAGGGGCTCGGTGGCCTTTGAATGACCGTTTTTCAAACTCAGCAGATCATCATGGGTTAAATCTCAGACCCCTTCACATTCAAGATTCGTTTGTCGCATTCTTTCTTAACACCAACACATCCCAAGTAACATTACAAGTTTTATCAAGGTCTTAAAGCATTCTACAAGTCTTAATCATGATCAACAAATCCCCCATAAAACCAGAAATGTGATAAATTATTTTTAATTAATTAAAATTATTTAATGCCCACCCACAGGAACCCTTAGTTTACGCGTAGACATCTACAGAGTTGGCAGTCCGCGTAATATTCGTCGTTTTTATCTACGGCGAGGGGGGGGGGGCAGTGAATCATTTATAGCAATCTAGAGTTACTTGGGGCATGAAGTAGTTCGCCTCCTCGTGGTGTGCCCTGGTAATGTTAATTTTCGAACTACAGTAGAGTAAGGACGCTGGAGCCCCATCCAGCTCGTCCCAGGAGGTCGATAAGCCCTGCACAAACCCTCGTTGTGCAAAGGCAGGAGTGACACCGGATTCTTAGAGTGTAGACGACTCTGACCAAGTCGCAGCACACGCAGCTGGTAAGCGGTCACATCTGTCCTGTCCTGCCGTGGACAGTTGGCTGGCTATCACGTCTGCTCTAGAACTCAGGCGAACAATTAACAGCGAACAATAAGAGGAAGGCCCTGCACAGCTGCTCACTGTGCAGTAGCGAGTGTCACTTCTGTGACACACCACTAGTGTGACGCGCCATAGCGCAACCGGCCCCCTCCCATGATGTAATGCTTTCGGGCGTTTCCGGGGAGGGCAAGAGCCAAGAGCACAGGGTAAGGTTTTAGTGGGTCGGGAGCGCTACTTCTCCCATCCCCACACCCTGAGTTATCTTCTCAGGTGTCTGGGAGCAGATTCCTCCTTGTATAAAAAAAATAAAAAAAAAAAGTTACTCTGAGAAACTCTTTTGCTCTCTGAGCGAATCTTCCTCTCATTTCTAGTGGATTTTTGCAAAAGGTTTTATTTATTTCTTGATAATAATTCGAGTTTAAGAGAAGACTTATATTTCACGGTTGTTGATTTTAACTGCCTTGAATACTAAAATTCGAATCAAGCATCGAGATGCAGAATTATGTTTCCTCATGATTGGAGTCACACTCAGGTTGCAGCTCCAAGCACCCAAAGCTATTGATACTAAAAACATTTCCATCAAGAATATAGCTCGGCATCTTCAAAACATCATTAACTTCCAAGAGCTGATTACAATTCAATGCAAGAGTATTGAATAGCAAATGTGATGTGCTTCCACAAGAATTTCCAGACTGGTCCAAAACTCAGATGGATTCCTGAAAATGTCAGAATTTTACGGCAGTTTCGATTAAGACCCTGAGCAGTTCACATTTGAAAAGGGCTTACAACTAAAATTTAAACAAACCAGAAAGTGGGTTGTAAATAATGTTTGCCTTTTTCTTGGCCTTTTTAATCATTTTAATTCCTATCTCTCGTAACATTTTAAAAGGGCCAACAACCAAAATATAAACAAACCAGAAAATGGATTGTAAATAATCTGCGTTTTTCTATTCCTATATAAGAAAATCTAATTTTTTTAGTTAGCTTTTCTATAGTTCAGTATGACAATAATATCTGTATCTCAGCACACAATACTCAAATAATACATAGTTGGCTGTTTTAGCGTTCGGGCCAATATATGATTTGAAAAATCTCTTCGATCTGCCATTTTGAAAATCGAGTTATTTATAATGATTTTTACTGGTTATGCGAAATATTCCTACACAATTGGTAGCTATCAAGCGGTGCTATAGGATGGTATCAAAAAACCGATTTGTTTACATTTTGATTATAGGCCCCTTTCACATGTTACGCGAGATATGCCTTGATCTTTATTTTTCCGATGCAGATCAGAGCAAATCAGAGTTACTCCATAGAGGTAACTCTAAGACCAAAAGGTCCCGAAGAAACGAGCTCAACTTTTTGGCTCAGCTCTGGTACTATCTTCGGTCCCAAGCTAATCGATTCACCCCTCGAAACATAGGAAAATCCACTAGCCCCTCATTTTATCTGTCAAACTTTCATAGCGAATCAAAACAAACATAGTGTAGTACTGGAATTTATTCTAGAATGGGGTACGTTAGTCGATTTGCTTGGGGTCAATAGGCTAGTCAAGTAGTGAGCCAATTTAAAATCGTTAGTTTCGTATTGATTGTTAGTTACTCAGAGTAACTCTCAGCTAAAGAGACACTCGCATTAAAGCCGTCCTCCCTCTTGATCTACGGCGTGGTTGAGCAACTACATCGGGAGTCAAACAATCAAATCCGGACCACCCCAACGTCTGTACTACATTCGTTAGGCACTGCGGATACGTTAGTTCGTGGGCACTGCACGCTATGGCTAAAAGCACTTATTTTGCAAGTTGCATGTACCTCAGGTCGTGGAGCCTCAGTAAACCTAGTTGGTAAAAGCACGGTATTACCAACCAGTGACAACTAACGATTTTAAACTGGCTCACTACTTGACTAGCCTATTGGTCCCAAGCAAATCGATTAACGTTCCCCATTCTACTCGCAATTCTAGTACTACACTATGTTTGTTTTGATTCGCTATGAAAGTTTGAGTTACCTTTATGGTATTACCAAGCCGGAGCGATTGATTCCCCGTCCGGTCGAGGAAATTTTTCACGTTAGAAATTTTCTCGACTTTCCTGGACATAGAGTATCATTGCGCTTGCCACAAAATATACAAATTCATACATTGGTTGGCATAGAAAGCTCGCAATTAAAAATTGTGGAAGTACATCTATGACACTACGTTGAGAGCCGGAAAATCGCTCGCAAAAGAAGCGTAGAAAACCTAGATGAAGAAGAAGCCAAAGTAAATTGCTGCTTAAAGATGGCAATTATAGAAGTTTTAGTGAAAAGACAACTCATCAATGCCCGCGTTGAGCGTTCCATGTTTCTAGTAGAACAAATTTCTTTCAGTACAGTATTGATTAGACAAACATAATTTTAGCGGGAGCCGATAATAGCAATAACACGCTGAACTTCATCTTTGCCAAAAGGCACGAAAACAACTCAGTTCAAGCAGAAGTGAAAATGTACCCAGGCCTCGAATCGAAAGGATAATAATACCACCCCCACCACCCCATAACCACTACTAGGTCTATTAGGTAGAGCTATACACAAAATTCTGAACAGTGAAACTTTCCTCCCAATCATCACCGCCGCACCACTCGAAACCACACCGCTTTTTAGTAGCTGTATATCGTAGATTTGGCTTTCCCATTGCGTACCTACTGAATAGATGACCTAGACGACCTGAAGAAGTTGGTGAATGGTGACGAGGCACGCGGAAGGGCCACACCACCGGCACCAG